CGGTTCCATCAAGCACATTTCCTTCTCTCAATAGGAAAACCCCATTTTCCTTAGATTTAGTAAGTTTCCTTTATCTTAAGTCCTTTCCTTTTATTCACGCGAGACGGTTTCGGATGATCGTACCCTTGCTTATGATGGGCTTAGATTAATGTAAAAAGGCCTTTCTAGAATGTGTGCATTCTCCCCTCTACAATAAGCTTCCCCCCACCCCAGTTCGTCGATGTAACTTATAGAGCTGCTCGTCACACTTCATGAGAAAGGTTTTGGTTCTGTTACATTAAGATCTGCCTGTTAGGCGGGAAGTCACTTAAACTATCAGACAAGCATAAACCACAGATCGGCAAGATAAGTAAAAATGCAGCGTTTCATTAAACTTTGTTAATGGGCTGGCTTAATAAATTACTTTTCCTTCGCAGGCCCAAGTTCAATTAGGGCTTCTGCAGGTGGGAAACCCAAAGGTTTCTGCTTTCCATAGAATCGAGGGCAATCATACGCGTTAAATGAAGGGACTGTCCAGATTTTCCTTATTTCTTTTTTCGTGCATTTGGGCCAATAAATAAGGTAATCACTCCTCTTTACTTTCCTCATTTTGTTTGTCTGAACTTCATATGAATTACTTTTCTTTGCTCGATTCTATGTTTAATCAATTTATAATACTTATTTAGTTTCACTGGATCGAAACCAGAGAACTTCCAATCGAACCTATCTTTTACCAATTCTTACTCTGAGGTTCCATTTTGTGACCCCAATCTAGGGTTCCCCTCATTACTTATATCCTTGAAAATCCCATCCTCTTACGATGTTTACTCCTCCGGTAGATCGAAAGGGCAAAGGTGTTTTAACTTGTGACTCTCCCAGAAAGAAATCACGCCGTGAGGATCGATTTGTTGGAGCTGCGATTGACGCTGGTAGGATGGAGAGAGCGGCGCTAGAGGCCGAGGATCATGCGCTTGCCAAAAGACTGACCCACAAAGAAGGCACGCCTGAACAGGTCGCAACAGAAAGAATTATCCATTTGGCTAGTCATAGTCAAGCAGCTGGGCCCTCGACTTGTCTTCGGGACAGAGTCTCCACAAATCAGTCAGACGTCAACTCAAAGGAGTTTTTAAACGATCCGGTGAAGAAGGTGCTTGTTATGATTTCTAGGTTTTTCGATATGGACACAAGGTCACTGAGCCCATCCGGGAAGTCGATGATGACTCAGGATCAGGTTTACACGCTTGCACAGCGATGTGGATTCTAGAAGAGAGTAGTTCTTCGAACCCCCAACGATCAAGAGAGACCACATAAGCCTCCAGCAGGCTTCTTATGTGTATATGAATGCTTCTTCGTGTATTTTTGTCTCCGGTTTCCAATCTCCCCCATCATGGTCCTCTATTGTGAACATAGAAAGTTAGTGATGTTCCAGCTTATTCATGTTGTTATCAGGCATCTGATCTGCTTGGGCGTATTCGCTCGTGTTGTTGAGGTTCCTCTTAATTGGGACATCTTCGAGAGGCTTACCATCCTTAAGGGTGGGCAACCTCGACACAGATGGGAAGCCCAAGATCTTTTATACTTCACCGAAGTATAATTTACTGCTGGTATCTCTCCCAGCTAAGTCCATAATTGGGACAAGTATTTCTTCTTTGTAAAGATCAATGATACCTCGATTAGAAAGGCCTCCATCGAGCTTTACCACAAATGGATAGCTAAATCTGGTAGATTAGGCTTTGTTTGATATAGAATCTTCCTGCATTTTTAGAATAACTCCATTATTTCTTGAATTTTTATAGTGGAACCCTTTCTTGGTTCGCATCCAGACAACTTTGTGGATCACAAAGAGAGACTAAGGGTGCTTAGTCAGAAAATCAGGCCTCTGGAGACGAAAAAGGGTGAACCAGTTCATCCCATAGTCGAGCCGAACACAGCCAAGGAAGGCAAGAGCATCGAGATCGAGTAAGTTTTTGTCGATCGATTTTTATGTTTCATGTGTTTGGAGTATATTAACTCTGAAATCTAACTTGATAGCTTCACAGCTCTTCTGAACCCTGAACCACCAACCGCTCCGGTGAAGATGTGTCTGAAGAAGAGGGATGTTAGTGTTCTGGCAGGTGATGCTACTCCGAGCATACCACCTGCTAAGAAAAGCAGGAAAATAGTATGCCAGAAGTTCTTGGAGGGATGACCGCTGCTTCTGTAGCTGATAAAGATCAATCCGGAGATCCAAGGTGAGTGATCATTTGTTAGTGAAAATTCTGCTTTTCTTGTTTTATTATACATTGGATGCCTTATCAACATTGATTCCTTATTCCCATTCAGGCTCTCTGATTTTCTGAAGAGCAAAAGACCTCGGCGAGCTAAAAAGGATGCTTCTTCTAAGAAAGAAGAGGTCGGCAATTCGTCCGCCGCGGCAGGAGATCAATTATCTGAGTCTCTTTGATTTCAAGAATCTAAAGAAGTTTTTCAAGAATCTTCCTAAGCTGTGGCCCAGCAGAAGGGCGTTGTGGCTTCAAATCCCCTATCTTCTAATTCTCCCAAGGAGCAAGAAGAGTATACTCCGATAGCTCCTTCGAACCTGCCGGGTTTAATCAAGGAGGCCCTCAAGATAGTTGCCAGCAAGGAGGCCATCCAAACCTGCTGCTGGTTTCGCGGGGGTTCCGCAGGATCAGGGTGTTCCTCCGGCACAGGGAGAGGCTGCCGATGTTAAGCCCAAGTTAGAAGATGAGACTCGTTATAATTCTAAACGATTTCATCTTAAGTGGAACCAGTCGACGCCCTTTATATTTGATAAGGAATTTTCTACCAGGCTGGCTTGGAACAGCAAACCCAACCCGAGGTGGGGTTGTAAGTTAGAGGAACCGAAGTTACTCGACACTTTCTCTGAGGCATCACATCATATAGTCCAGATCCGCTGTTCTTTTAATGAGCCTATCTGTTTTCTTTCTTTTATTTATTGTGTGTGAAATTGATCACACCGGTTATTTTTTTTAACAGGCAATGGGACTCTACGCGATGATTGCTCGATGAATTCTAGTTCGTACGACCGTATGGTTGTGACCCGAGACTCAGCAGCTGAGCGATCTTCTGAAAAGCTTGAACGCTTGGAAGGTGCTGATAAACGTGCAAAACAACCAGAGTTTGAGAATCTGGATCTTAATATCCAGCTCAAACTGTTGGGCACGGACCAGCTTCAGAATAAAAATGCCGAGCTCAAGTTAATACTTGAGGTTTTCGAAAGAGCTTCAGTTCAAAAATACGCCTTCCGAAGAGGCAAGGCTTTGTCAATCTAGGGAGGAGATAACTCATCGCATCACCGAGGAGGTTCACCGTAATGCGTTGGCATGGTACAGTTCTCGTGTAGAGAAGTTCCAGGTGTCCATGGCTCAACGGGATGTTGTTGAGAAGTTGCTTATCAAGGGGGGGGCAGAGAAATGATGCCGTGCTGTCATACCTTATCAGGATGTGGGATCAAGGCTGGGAAGTTCCCTGACATTGCAAATGCTTCTTTCAAGAAGACTAAGGCATAATGAGAGGAAAAATGTGATGTTATTAGTAAGATCACCTTTTTGAGGGAGGATTTTGCTCCACTGTGCAGGTTAGACTTTTTTTATAGTTTCGATGATTTCTGCTTTGATAACTGTTGGGTCGTTCCCTTATACTTCGAGCAATTTGGCTCAATGTATCCATTGGTCAGACCTGTCGTAGACGAACTGATGTGAGCTGTTAGGTCTTAATCTCCTGAAGCCTTTAATTTTTGGCATTCATTGCCAAAGTTCAAGACTTTTTTCTTTTTAAGCCGAGACGATTTTATCGAGGTCTTATAATACTTTATATGCGCACAATAGCTCTTTTAAAGGATGCTATTTTGGTACATCTATTTTTGAATTTTTTGTTTAGAGCGTGCGTAAACAAATGCCCTCGTGATAATTGTGGGGCACTTTTGGCCATATTATACTTTTTCTAGCGATATTGGATGACTCAACTTTTTTGTATTTTGGATTGGATATTGAGCTATGATCCCTTCTCTGTTTATATGGGTAGAATGTCGGTTCCATCGAGCTCTTTTTCTTCTCTCAATAGAAATTTTTTTTTTTTTGAAGATTTAGGAAGTTTTTTTTATTCTAAATCTTTTTTTTTTAATTCACGCGAGACAGTTTCGGATAATTGTACTCTTATTTCTGACTAAGAGAGTATTCGAGCATACGCGCAGGTTTTTAGTTTTTTAAGAAATTGATGTTAAACCGATTCTATATTTTATATATTATATATTATATATTTTTCAGATTAAATAATTGATTTATAATTCTAATTTATAAAGTTGCATTAAATATTTTATAAATAAATATATTAGGATTTTGATATTTTATTAATTTAAAAATTATTAATGAATCAAGTTTGAATAAAATAAATTATCAAATTTATTATAATATTGTATTAGTTTGTCTTCTAACTTTTTAAAATTCAAATATCAAATAATTGTTATTTTTATATTTATATAATTGTTTTATAATAATAACATATGATACTAATAAGAAATAAGAAAACACTCTCAAATAAGAAACATAAATTGTTTTAATGATTTTAAAAAATACCAAAAATATATACTCAATATTTTTTTTGGATATTAAGTATATAATGTTGTCAAAATATATTATCTAATACTTCATATTTTTCATATTCTTTTAGTATTATGATTAATAATACATTAATTTATGCATTAACTATATTACATATAATTTGTATCATTAAATTTTTAAAAATGATAGATATCATTTTCACAATAAACCAAAATGATGAGGTGACACTCAAGCGGAAAAAGCTGGGCATTTTTTATAGTATATATGAGTTTAAATTAATATTAAAAACCTTTTTAAAATATGCTGTTCTCCCGTTTACAGTCACAAGAACAGGTGGGTCTAACTGGTCTCTGAAATCTGCAACGTACATGAAAGGAACTTGTTGGTCTTTGTCGACTCCACGTGCTTTCACGATACATGTCAATATATAGGCGTAGGCGACTACTTGACAGGTAAAGATTGTTTCTTGACGTTCTCCTGAATCAGCTTGAGCTTGATCCTGATGACGTCTTCTTCGATCTCTTTGGCGGGAGGAAACTCTATGTTTCTTGCGTTTGCTTTGTCTTATGAGAGTTGGGAGATCTTCGATTAGAGCTTGGCTGGGAGATTGATGACCATGCGATCTAAAAGCATTGGTAAATCAAGATCTTGCGGCATTGTTCCGTACTTACAGATGTGAGCCCAAGATATTTAGAAATTTCACGACAGTCGTGCCGTCCATGGCCGCATGGTGAAGTGTGGTTCCAATGCAAAAGCTTTTGGTTCGGGAACAAAGCGACTTTCAGAATAAGAAGAGAGGTTGAGTCATAGGAAATTGGTAACTCAGGTGCTAGAGCGCGTAACTCAATCTGGCCACGGAGCTCTTTGCTGGATAGATGAGAGAAATCAGCATCAGTCTCAGAAACTGTGAGAGAGACCAGTCTTGCGGGAGGATGATGATGTGCGGCTTAGGATCTTGTGGGTCCCACTTCAATTGACCGGAGAGAAGGAGAAAGTGTGTGAGGACAAGGGAAAGGGATCGCTCGAGCTTGGGGAGAATGACGGAGTAAAAGGAGTCGCGAGTCGACTCAATGAGTTCGTAAAAGTTGACTCGGTTCGTGGGAATGTCTTTTAGCCACACCAAATCGAAAAATTTGAGTGGGACAATGAGAGGCTCGGCCAAATCTGTTGCGGGGCCGACTCGAGAGATCTTGATCAAGTTATACGCCATTATTGAGGAATGGGATCTCACTTGACCCTCGTTTAAGGATTCCCTCTCTACTTTCTATAATTGATAAGACAAGTCTGTTACATTAATTATTATTAATGTGAGATTTTGTTTTTTATTCAAATCAAATTTGATACAATGATCAAATCAGAAATATTTTTTTTTTTAAAATAATTTTATTTTTGTAAGTATGTACAGTGATATCATTATGCTGATGTGTCAACTCCAAATTCATTTTCAACTAATTTTTTTTAAAAAGACTTAGATTACTAGACTAATTATATGATATGCTATTATATATTTTATGTCCATAAATATGTTATGTCTTATTTTTTTAAATGAATTCAAATACAATGATAGTAGAATTAATAATTTTATAAAATGAAATCTGTTTAATGCTAATTATAGTATACACGAAATTTATTATATAATATTTTTAAAATATTATATATATATATTTTATTATAATATTTTTCAATATTTACCATTTTTATCATTTATAGCAAAATATATAATACTTTTAATGTTTACTACTTTAAAAAAATATGTTTATAGATTATTCATACAAAAATATTCTTATAAAAACAACTGAAAAATTAAAAATAATATTTTATTTTCCTCAAATTCATAACAAAATATACAACACTTTACTAATATTTACTACTTTTATTAAAAAATATGTTTATTAATTCTTTATTAAAAATATTCTTATAAAGACAACATAATAATTAAAAATAATATTTTATTTTTCTCAAAAATCAATCAGAACAAATAAAAGAAAGTCATAGTGATTTTACTCAGATATTATTGTAACTATAGCATGCATGAAAATAATTATGAAAACTTATAAAATATTTCAAGCTAAATATTTTAAAGTTTATATCTTTTAACAATTCATAATAATATATACAAAATATATTATTAAAAATATATGTTATTTTCGTCAGAAACATCAATTAAAAGAAAAAAGTCATAAAGACAAATTTTCAAAATTATTATGATATTTATTATTAATATTCAGATTTACTATAAAAGAAAATATGATATATTGCATTATGGTTTAATTTATATATGATTCCTAGATAACAAATATGGTATATTGCATTATTGCTTACTTTTTTTTGGAAAGATAATATCAATATTAATTGTTTATTTTTTAATTAATGTTTGATTTATCATATACAATATCAAATTTTCAGCAATATTTGTTCATATTTTTTTTCTTAGTTTGTCGGCTTTAAATCAATCAATTTAATTACTGTATATTTTTCAATAAATTGATAATATTGCGATTTTAATATTTTATTAATTTATAGAACTATAAATTTATCAGTTTTGTAATTAAATAATTTATTTCTAAATAATTAATTAAAAAATATATAAAAGTTAATGATATCTTGAAATATTTCACTTTCAAATTGTAAATAAACCATAACATTTAAAAAAACCATTATATATTTATATTTTAGTAAATTATCATAGTTATGTATTTATATAAAATTATTTTATTGTAATTATTCATTTATGATGTTAATCAAACCATATATTTATATAGATTTTCCTAAAAAAATATTATCTTATCAATTTGTATAATATTTTGAACAAGTCCAATTTGGGACTAGGAAAATTTATTAATTTATTTAACCAATAATATTTAGTAGATAAATAACAAACTATTTGACTAATAATATTATTTTTAAGAGTCAAAAGTAATTAAATATATACATAAATATTGCATACCCAAATTTTGGACATTGGTAAAAATAATGAATCATATCATCAATTACGGGATATAGAAAATATGTATGGTAACTTCGTATTTTTACTCAGCTATATACCATGTGTTATGCATGCTACTTAATTTTTAAATTAATTTATATTACAATTAAATTATCTTATATTTCATTAAAAAAACTATATTGTCAATGTTATAGTATAATATTATATAAAATTTATATAAATTTAATTATATTATATTATATAATTTTTCAATTATATTAAATTTAAATAAATAATAATTATTTCATCCGCACATGGTGCGCGTTATTACCTAGTAGAACTATTAATTTATTATCATTATTTCCTAGCACTGCACACTGTTAAATAATAATTTATATAAAAAAAATCTTTAACTTTGGATGGCCAATTATTTTTAAAAAATTATCAAACAGAACCTAAATTTTTTTAAATATCAAAATTTAATCTCTGTTTAGATTTTTAGTGAATGGATTCCGTATATTTCAACTGATTCCATATAATTAAAAATAATTATACCCTTTAGAAATTAAATGTTTAGTGATTTTACATTACTTTCTGATGTAATGAGATTTAACATTATAAAAATAATTAATGTCCAAGCTATTATTGAATGAATATCACAATGTACTTATAATGCTAGTACTGGTTTCTCACCCATCGAGATGCTTTTCAGGAAATTTTGAAATCATTATGTTTTCTATGCTGCATTATCTAAAACTATAAACTAAAACTATAAATTCAGATTTATCGGTGGATCTTGCTAACAAAGTTTGCTTTGAAGATTTCCAAGATACTGCTGCAATTCTAAAGTTAAAACATAACCACTTTTGGATTTTAAATTTTTTTGAATCAGATATCTAGTTTACATCACTTTATCTATCCAAAACTGGTGGTATTTTACCATAGTGCAGCTCATAAATTTTGGTGTATCGCAAATAATTTAATATTATTTTTATGGCTTTCTAAAGTGAATATAACATGAATTACTTGAATGCATGTGTGAGGACTAGTCATTGTATAATTAGTTAAGTACATCAGACTTCCAATAACTATTGCATACTCCACTTGCGACACAGTTTCACCCAAGTTCTTAGTCAAGTGTAGTCGCAAATCTACAGGAGTTTTCGCAGTTCTATTAAAGTAGATTTTTGAACCTCTCAAGTATCTTTTCAGCATAATGATCTTGAGACAAAGTGGAGGTTCATGTAATCTTTATGCCAAGAATAAAATACACATGATCCATGTCTTTCATGTCGAACTGACCACTAAGCAATATCTTGATTTGTTGGATGATATCATTATTACTGATGATAATGAGCATGTCATCTACGTACATACACAACAGGATAAATCCAGTAGGAGTATATTTGATGTAGATGCACTTATCATATTTATTGATGCTGAAACCATTTGACATCATTACATTGTCAAACTTTTCATGCCATTTTTGGGAGCTTGTTTCAGCTCATACAACAACTTAACAAGTTTACAGACTTTTTGTTCTTGATCCAGGACCACAAATCCTTCGAACTGTTTTATGTAAATTTCCTCTTCTAAATCACTGTTTAGAAAGGTAGTTTTTACATCCATCTGATAGATTTCAAGACTTCCTAAGACTGCTATTCCTATCAGCGTTCTGATTGAAGTTATTCTCGTCACTGGAGAAAAGGTATCAAAGAAATATAGACCTGCTTTGTGTCTAAATCCTTGCACCACAAGTCTGGCCTTGCACTTTTTAATTTAACCATCAGTTTTTAACTTGGTTTGGAAGATACATCTACATCCTAGTGCCCTGAGGTAAATCAGTGATCTCATAGGTATGATTCTGCATTATAGAATCGATTTCACTATTGACTGTTTTTTCCAAGAAGGTGCGTAAGATATAGACATGGCTTATGTGAATGATATTACCTCATTCTCTACAAGAAATACCATTAAAAATTATCACCAAAATACTTACCCTTGCGAGCTCTTTTTCTTAGTCTATGTTCATCTTCTTCATCTTCTGCTTCATCTATTGAAGTTCTAGAAGTGCTCCCTATAATTGATTGAGATGCTTGTGTCTCTTTCATAATGAGTGCATTTCTTACTTAGTTTATCTTTACATGGAAATATGTTTTTAAAGAAAGACACATTCTTTAGTTCCATTATTGTGTTAAAATGGATATCTGGTACATCTGACTTATGTACCTATAATTAATAAGCAATGCTGTTGTGTGCATATCTAATGAAGATACAATCTACCGTTTTAAGTCCAATTGTTATATTCTTAGGAGGTGGTACTGAAACTTTTGCTAAGCACCCCCACACTTTGAGGTATTTATACAAAGGTACATAAGCTTTCTAAAATTCACATGGCGTTTTGGCATTCATTTTGAGTGGAATTTTGTTGAGCATATAGTTTATGGTGAGCAGTGCTTCCCCCCCCCCCCCCCCCCCCCCCCCCCCCCCCCCCACACACATATTCTGGGGTAACCCATATTCCTTCAACATTGCATTCATCATCTCTTTTAGAGTGTGACTCTTTAATTCTGCATCTCCATTAGATTAAAGTGAACAGGGAGAAATTGTTTGATGTATGATGCCTTTTTCTTGACAGAAGACAGAAAGCAGTCCATCATACTCGCTTCCTCTATCAATTATAGTCATTTTAATAGTTTTTTTCCAGTTGGTTTTCAACTTGGAATTTTTACTCTTTGAATTTTTCCAAAACTTTATCTTTACTACACAACAAGTATGCATAGCAGTATTTTGTACTACGTGTATGAAAGTTATACAATACGTTTTTTTGTATATACCTTAAATCACACAAATTTTAAGCCAAGAGATTCAATTGTTTGTAATATGAGGTGATGACATTTTTGTGAGCTTTGCTTGGACACGAACTTCACATTTGTCTTTTCTAATTTTTGCATTTAGGAACTAGATTCAAATTCATCACTCTTTATACAGATTTATAATTCATATGTCCTAATCTTTCATGTCAAATATTAGAAGACTCAACCAAATAAGCAACTGGTTTCTTATTGATTTCATTATTGGAAACATGTACATCGGTTTTCTCGAGAATTGTCATTGCACACATTTTAACTAATCATTCCTTAACAAATCCTTTTCCAATGAAAGCACCACTCTTTCTGAGAATCAACTGGTCATAATCGAAGTTGACTGCAAATCTATGGTTGTTGATAAGCGTACCAGATGTCAGATTTTTCCTCATGTCAGGAATGCTTCACGTTTAAGAG